TTTGGGTCGACATTCCGCTTCTCATGGGGATTCTTTTCTGCAACCTGCTACTCAGTCACTCACTCACCTACTACTACCCTAGGTAGGCTCCATTTTCTTTTCTGTTCATACGATCATCGCGCAACAAAGTCCCTGCTCTACTTCTGTTCTTTTGTGCCTTTGTCCTGGTTGTTCGCTGTCAAGAATGCGAGTTCGGAGCCTCAAGGCGCATACAAAAACTCTGGCCTCTGCCCTGAAATAAGTGGCGATTGTGCTCACCTCTCACTCGCCGCCTTTCTCGCTCACGCTCACCCTCACTTTGTTCTCCACTACTAGACATCAATCAACACCAGAACCTCATCGCATCGCTTGCCTGTCGCATTGGCGAGGCGGGCCTCTCCCGGCTTCAATGGAGATTCAACATCCCCCGCATGAGTTTGCGGAACCCGTTCTTCATTTCCAGCACTCTTCGCACCTTGAACCTGAACCTGGGCCTGGGCCTGGGCCACTTCCCACTACCGAATCCCTAGACGAGCAGCCTCCAATCCCCGCCAAAACACAGCAAAACGTCATCGAACCACAGTATCCTCAACCGTCTCAATTAATCTCAGACCAAGATATCGTCACGAATGGGCTATCTCCGCTAGGACAAGTCCCATCACTGTCCCCGGACCTTGACGAAGACGACGCAAGCTCAATTCTCAGTGATCTACCATCTGAATTGGATGAGCCTGCTGCAGAACCTGAACCAATAGATTTTGATTGGGATGGCCCCGAGGGACATCAAGTTCTCCGACTCAAACCAACCGTCGAGCAATGGAACGACTTTCCGGCCAATCTCGCATTTGCCAGAAGTCTTAAGGCTGAAAGCCACGGTTGTTTCAAAATCGTCCTTCCTGAGGAACTCATAGAAGACCTCCCAGCAAAGGACTCTCAAAAAGTACCGGCGAATGCTTATCGCCCAACCCAAATAAAAAGGAACAGTTTCTGGCGAGTTGACACAGTTCCGTCCGTCGGCAGTTTCAATTCGTCCGTTACAGGTGCGAAATGCAATGTCACGGCGATCAAAGCCATCGATCAGCTCAGAAAACTTTATCGCAAGAACGACCACAAGCAGATTCGCAATGTACGTTATCGAGTTGACGTCCCTGCATGGACTCCCGAACAACGCCTTGAAGCCGGGGTTCCTGAAAAAAGCCCAATTTATCCCCTTAAAGGTGATAAGCTGGATAACACAAAAGCCATAATTCCTGGAATCCATACTCCATATGTGTATGAATCAGGGCCCCATTTCGGGGCAAGTTTTCAAATACACGCAGAAGACTTCCGGTTGGTTTCGCTCAACCATCTATACAAGGGACGGAAGATCTGGATCGTCGTGCCATCAACTGCGGTGGATGTAGCAGAAGAGGCGCTTGGCCGCAAGGACAAGTGCTCTCAGTTCATGCGGCATCGAGCCGAGTTTTTCTTTCCCCAGAAACTGGAAAAACTTGGTATACCTTTCCGCATCATTGACCAGCGCCCTGGCGAGACAATAGTAATTCTCCCAGATGCATACCACGAGGGCTTTAGCACAGGATATACGATCGCGGAAGCCAAGAACTACGCTGATGATGCTTGGACGACGAGCACCTACCAGCCATGTGAGGCAAAGTGCCAGCTGGCCACGGCCATCCCAGCTGACTTGCTGAGGCCATTGCAAGAGGGAGAGACACAGCTCGACCTGTGTGCTGGTTTTGATTTGGCGGCCTTGCAGGAATCACCTCCTGCGACGCCTACACCCGAAAAGACAAAGAGACGTTTCGAGGACGACGGACAAAGTGTTGGGAACACTAAGAGGGCTAAGGTCTAGAACGGTGCGTGGGGGAAGGATACTGCTCATTTACATGCTTTTACGGAGTTGCTACGGCTTTGCTTGTTGATGTATTGGTCATCGACTATTGCAATCTGCTAGGGGTGGGATTTTGCTAGGGATGGCTTCAATACCCATGACGCCCGGCGTATGACACTTTTCGGCAGATGGCTTTGATTTTACGGGTTAGGAACTTGGTTGTTTTTGGCGATGCCCTCCTGTACAGAGTACATTTGTTACATGGGCTTAACAGGTCCCTCTATTTTCGGTCTAGAAAGGTCTTTTTTCGTATTGATTTTCGTTATGCGTCGTGTGAAAACGTTACACCCAACTTCCAGCCATCTAGATGCACATTATAACATGTCATTTGTGAATATTGGAACAGAACCAGCAATGACATGACATCCAAGATTGCAAAATCCCACCTCTTTTACATACGTCTCTCTTCCTCCTGTCTTCGCACTTCGTCACGGAAAGCATTGCGACCACCTGTGGTGCCGTGTTGAGGGAATGTAGCATCGACAGGGCTGCCGGCTAGGCTGCCAAGACCGTCGCTGTCGGCACGAGCACGCTGAGGAGCGTCACGGTATTCACCATGAGGAGGAACTGAAGCATCGAGCTGGATGCCATTATCTCTGGCACCAAAGATACGGCGCTTGGCACGGCCAGTGTAACCGTGACGAGACCGGCTCGAGATATTGCCGAGTCCGATACGGCGGGTCTTGCGGTTCCAGAGGAAGCCACCGACGACAAGGAGGAAGAGAGAGCCAAAGACGACAGGCAGAGCGATGGTCAAGGTCTGGCCCTCGGGCAACTTCTCGTGGGACTTCTCAGGGAAGTTTTGGTCATTAAGGTTAAGGTAAAGAGATGAGGACTTGGTCTTCTCGAGGGAGTTGTTGCTGTTGCTGTAGAGGGTGATGGAGATGTTGTAGGGCGAGTACTTCATGTATTCCTGCTTGACATCGAAAGGCCAGTAGCCCCAAGCGGCGGGGACGGCTGAATCGGTGAATTCCTTGTACTTCACCCATGATTCACTAGTACGGTTGTAGAGGTCGAGGCGAGCAGTGACCAGGAGAGTAGAGTTATCAGAGGACTTGGTCTTGTTGAAGTAATCGGGATCCCAGGTAACTGAAATATGTTAGTTACTGTAATTGACGCATCAACGAACGGCTCTGTTGCTCACCATAGTATGTGTTCTTAACATCAAGGGTGCTGTTGGCGTAAGGCGAGCAGAAAGGAGCATTATCGCCGTCCTTGTTGTAGCATCGCGCAAAGACACCCTCGCCGTGCTTGCCGGTGGCCTGGGGGTTGGGAGGCTCGCCAGTGCTTGTGTGAATCTTACCCCAGCTGGTGTAGGTGTAGACGCTGGCGGTAAGATCGTGAGGAGGAGCATCAATCAGAGAAGTGGTGCCATCGACGGTGGTATACGAGGGAGTGTATGTCGTCGCAGGCTGCATCTCATCATCGACAGTAACCCAAGCGGCAGTCTGTTCGGCTCGCTTCTCGAGAGCAGGAGCATTGGCTTCGAGATCGCGCTCATGGCGGATGACTGTGGCATGGGCAGAAGCCACAAGGCCAATTGATGCGATGATCTTTGATGCGTGCATTTTTGTTGTTTTGTTATTGTTCCTTCGGCGACTCGATATGATGCTTGTCCTTGACACGTCGTTCCTTTCCCGGTGAGACTCTGCCTAATCACACACAATAACCGCCGAAGGAGACAAGGGCGACAATGGAAAAGAAAAGAGGTTGAGGTTGAAGAGAAGAGTAGATGGGAAAAAAAGAGAGCGCGTTGAGAAAAGCTGGGACACGGGAGATTTGAATGCCAATGCGAAGCAACCAGCAACAGGAGAGGCCGATCGGTCCGGACGGGACCAACCAGACCAAAGGACTTTTTTTATTTCGCGCAGGTCTTCAGTGGGTCTGTAACTGTTAGTGTGTAATTCCCCAGGGGATAGCCAGGGGCACCAGAGGAAGCCAAAAAGTTCGATCTCCAGTATGTGCGCCAAAAATAAGTCAATCAAGAGCCTCCCGTACAAAGCCTATATCTCCCTTCTTATTTCTAGCATCGAGTGCCAAGCCTCAAGTTTTCTGACCATGCCTGCGGGCATTACGGGGGTTTCAGTGGAAGCTAATGCCAGAGAAGCCGCCAAGACTGGACGAGCCTTCGGGAAGGGCGAGGGTATGAGCGTGATGTCATGGGTATGAACATCCATTGGATCCATTGAGTTCAAGATCTTTTTATGCATAGGTAGGTTAGTACTTAGACGGTGAGGTTAGACAAGCTACCAAGCTACAATCCGAATAAATTTGTATCATTCGAACGTGAGCCTTGGTTTCTGAGCCAAGGCGGGCATCTAAAGTTGGCCCATTCTCTTTTCAGTACCATTGCTCCAGCATTTCTTGATATAAATGTATTTGATAAATTTATTCATGTTGAGAAGATCAGTTAAGTATGAAATGGCCGAGCAAGACCTCCAGTTACGTTTTGATCATCTGTTCTGTAGCTTGTCCCGTCACCATAATGTCCATTCAACGTAAATCCCCGCGGGCTTTTGCCAGTCCAATCCGCTTCAAGTTTTAGAGAAGAGTCAAATACTCCCCTTTCTTCCAGGTACTCTTTGGCCTTTATGCTCTGTAGCCAGAATTTTCAGGGTCTCTTGTCAAATACCTGTCTACCTACTAGGTAGTTTCAGCATTCTCCTAAAATATACCTGCTTCGTGGTTGAGGACTTTATCTCTAACCCTTTTTTAAAAAAATAAAAAAAACTTCCTAAGAATGGCGCTGCGCTTCAGAATTATAAAGCCTCAAGACACTGAACAAACAGGCACATACTGATCACAGCTCGCCTAAGTTAGTTGGATACGCTGCCTTTTCTATAAACTATATGACTAGGAGATACAGAAATTAATAAACAAAGGGGCAATCAGTCTTCTCGACAGTTTGTGCTGTAAAACGAGGCTAAATGGACCTGGATCGGGGAGATAATAATGAAGGAAGAGGGTGGATCACAATCTCTGGAGTCTTGATAGGATATCTCTGGTAATATCTATCCTTCCCTTATGATTTCTAAACTACCTATTCTCTATGTATTCTAGTGCAACAATTGATGATTCTTGATTCAATTTAGAGGACAGAAGGATGGCAGGATGGCTTGTTTTCCCCTTCTTAACACAACTTGACTTCTATGACCCTGCCAGGAGAGCTGAACCCAACAACATCAAATCGAGTTTCAAACTTCTGAAGAATAACTATCTTGCGAATGCGGCGACATGCTGAAGTGATATCCGCAATCAGTTTGCGATACGCCCGCTCAAGCTCAGATTCGGTTACATCTTCAGACTCGACGAGATCTGGAACCGGCCCGTTCAAATACTCAAGGACAGAAGCTCGATCAAAGGGTATGTATGGCATGCTGAGACAGAGTTCTTCAATATATGTTTGGTTAAGAAGATCACAGACTATGCTCAACGAGCCTGACTAAGTAGATGTGAGCTTCTTCAACACATAGGACGGCTTGCCTTTCGAAACGACAAGCTTGTGAAGTGGTTAACTCACAAAGACTGCAGTCGTCCAGCAAGTATCCCAAAGATCTGAACGTCCTTGGATACTGAGGCATTTGAGAGCTTTGAAATGGGTTATAACTTCCAGAATGATATCCTTATCTAACAATGGACCGTCGAAATTGGGGGAAATAGTGAGCTTCTTCAAAGAGTGTTTGGTTTTAGAAGAAGAGCAAAGGCGCACCAGCTCATTATACATCCGTGTACCGTAGTGCCCATCGATATTAACGGCTTCGAGGATCTCGGGAACGCAGCGGCTGAGAACAGCGCATAATATCTCTGGCGAAGTGGAAATTTTGAGGGAGTTGAGCTTATCCCATTTCCGAGTCCGCATTAATAGTTCGCAAAGATTCTTTTCTTGCTCCTGGGGCCAGCCTCCGAGAGATAAATCCAACTCTTGAAGTTCGGTCACTTGCGAGACGCTATTCACAAGTAACGGCCCAAGTTTCTCGTACAGTGGTGGCTGGGTCCCGACGCGCCCACGCTTCTGCAGGATTACTGATATCTTCCTGTGGTAATATTAGGATTATCCCATATGATTAACATGTATTACAACTAACCTAATAAGGCTAAACTTCTTACTGGGCTTCATTGCCAGGAAGTGTGTGAACTGGTGGGAGAGAAGTCTAGGGAGACCTTCAAACCAAAGCCGTCTCAAGTTCCTCGGGGCAAAGAAGTCTTGGTAACTTTTGGACACGAGAACCAGGTTTTTCACGTCGTACCCATCTAGAAAGGATGTAACCATGTCTCGACACTCCTGAGGTAGTTTCTCCATAACTGACAGCGAAGCGTAAGTATGAGACAACAGGCGCAAGAAAATAAGAGTGGTTGGACATGAGCAGATGACGTTAAAATCTCTCTCATAAGCGGAGGTATTGAAGAGAAGAATGATGAATCTCCCGTCTGCGTCGAAAGTGCAGTGAGCTTATTGAGATGAGTCAAGGAGGAAGGTGCATAAGCGAGGGGGTCTCATCCATCACTCTAGGTACTTACCTTAAGGTAATTTGGAAAGGATGCTGCTTCGCTAAGGCAAGGTACTATAGTTACCTTACGTAGGCGTGTCAGAGCTTCAAAGAAGCAGTTGAGAAGGGTCGATGATACGTTAGTATTCATGAGAGCTAAGAGCTGAGAGCTGCCGTGCAAAGTATGTGTATTTAAATAAAAGTCGCAAGGATTAAATTTTGACTTCCCATATCTTCACAGATCAAAGTCACTTTGACGATAGAACGAATCGCCATGCACAGCATCTATAATAGATAGGAGGGAAAGGCGGCTGGCTTGGCTCAGGCAAATATACAAGGCACACTCAGCACATTCAACACCTTCAACACCTCGTTAACGCGCATCAGCCCATTTCGTCTATATAATACTCGTAGTTACAGCCCTAATTCTTTAAGACTCAGGATCATGAGTCCAAAGGTAGAAATGGTATTTGCTACCTTGAGAAATACCCAACTATTGTAAGTTGTAACTTCCCAGTTTGTTGATTGTATTAGTCATCAAGTATAAATTATCAACCTCTTCGCCCAATCATCTTCTCAATGCTACATTGTCAACACTTACCACAAAGCATTGTGTATTCTTCTTCCCAATTACAAAAAAGATTTCCTTCATCGCAAAAATCATTATCTTGAAGACAACGACTATGTCAGTCACGCTACACACGTCGCACGGCGATATAAAGGTTGAAATATACTGCGAAAGTGTTCCCAAAACTGCAGAGGTTTGTTTAATCCAGTATATGTTTATCCTAGTCTTTGCTCACACCTACCAGAATTTCCTTGCCCTTTGTGGCTCAGGCTACTACGATAAATCTCCATTCCACCGCCTCATCCCCAAGTTCATGGCACAGACTGGGGCACCCGCAACACCAAACCCCCCCGAGAACCCCAAAGGCGGACGCAGCATATGGGGAGGCGCGTTTGAAGACGAGATTCGGCCAGCGCTACGACACGGCGCTCGAGGCATGCTGTCGATGGCCAATAAGGGACCTGGGACGAACGGATCGCAATTCTTTATCACGTTCGACAAGACGCCGCATCTGGACGGACTCAACACTGTGTTTGGGCGCGTCATCGGAGACGAGGGTATGGCGACATTGGCCAAGCTGGAAGCTATCGAAGTGGACCGAAAGAACAGACCCAAGGAGCCAGTTCGTATCGAAAAAGTAACGATCCACGCCAACCCGATCGCTGGCTGAGATAGCGACAACGTCCTTCATACTTGTCACACCATGGCATTACACCATACCTCCTCGAACGAAGCACTGTACTGCCGTTACGGTACACCACTGAAGGAAGACGAAAATTGCAAACGATTTATCCCAACAAACTTGATTTTGAATATTATTCTTTATGATATTCTTGATCTACGCGCGCCAACAACAACCCCTTAAAATCTGCCGGAAAATCAAACTACCCCTTCGGAGAGGCTTTCTTGCCTCGACTCTCAAAGTAAGGTGTCAAGAACAACTAGTCTCAAGGCTTACTGAGTTATGCTCAACCTACCGAAACCGCTTCATTGTTCAGGATAAGGCTCCTAAGTTTCTTGCCTCTCAGAGCTTCTTTACCTGGGATCCGTGGACGCTCATGATCATCTTCAAAGCGTCCCCATTCCAACACTTCGGCTTTTTTCTTACTTTCGATACGGTAAGGGACCTCCTCTTCCTTCTGGGTGACATAGATCATGTCGTTCCATCCGGTCATCTCCATCTGCCAAATGAGCTTCAGGAGTTCCGCGTGGCTGCAAGCATCAATGTTTCGTGTAGAACAGGTAACCAGGAAAGGGCCCCTAAATTTCCGAACAAGGAGAAATGCTCGTTGGCTGGGTGGTAGGCAGGAAGTTCACTGGGCTCACCGCTCTGCCCTACGGTGATTATGTCATGCAGAAATTTCCACCCTTTCGAACCATCATCAACAATATCTGGCTGTCGTTCGCGTTGAGCCTCGACGAATGATAGAAACAAGAGGGTAAATTCGCCTTCATAGTCCCGGTCAGGATCTGGAGTCAACGTACCTTGGAGAATCCTTTCGGTCTTGGTCCGTTCGGCATCAACTGTCCCACTGTATTTCGTGTCTCCGAGAAGATCTATTTTCTCCCTTGTAAAAATTGAGGAGTCATATGGTGATCCACTGTCTATGGATTCTGGCTCGCGTTTTGGAGTGGGAACATTCTCTTGGTTGCAAGTAACGAAGGAACTGTTGGTGATGGCCCGTTGACTCATGGATGCGTGGATGTCTTGACGCCTTCGGTCTGCTTTAGTATCAAGCGTCTTTGGCTTGAACGCATCTCGCCATTTTCTCACATCCTTGATATCGATGTGGAATATGCGGCGCCGTGCGTCACTATTGTCATTGAAGCAAACCTTGAAGCCAGGGGCAGAGGCCCGGTTGGATTTGGGAAACATGCCCACAAAGAACCGGTGGTTCACGGATCCGTCGGGAGTTCTTGAAGGACACGAGATTGCTATGTTACGTTGCGTCTCTTGGGAACTTCTTTATCGTCTAGACCAGCCTGACGACATGAACTGGATTGAAACTGAGACCTTACCGGGAAGTTTGAAGTCGCGTAATGAGGGAGGAATAACGCGAAGCTCAGGACACTTTATATTATATGCGGTGACTTCTGCTAGAAAGGGATAATTCTTGGGCCATGTGAACAATTGCGAATGATGAGTGTTTATCTGAACGCAAGCCCTATGTGCTTATGTGGACAATGGGTGACAACAGGGTCATAGTTGAACCTACTCTGAACAAAGCTATAACTACTGCGTGTTATTTATGACTATATCAGAAATATCGTAACTGTGTTTGTTTTGAATGTTCCAAACAGAAATTCTATTGGCATAAGAAGAAAAAGACAATAGATAACTGTGGTTCAGTAGGCAACACCAAGTTCTCTAGGACTACAGACAAGTACGACCGGGACAAGAGCAAAAATTGACAAGCACTGATCTACACGAGAAGGCAAAATGTAGATTTTGATGAGACTGGGACTCGAACCCAGGAGGATTGCTCCACCAGGAAATTGGTGTTAAGGTTAACCTTAACCTGGCGCCATAACCAACTCGGCCATCTCACCATAAGGTCAAGAGGACCCGCTTGCTAAATAATTTATTTTTTGATCATTACATAGGTACTCAGTGTTCCAATCTGTACCCAGTCAAATCGAGAGTATTATTGAAATAATTGCTTGACTTCCTACAGGAATGCCATTTAAATTAAATTGGAGTCGTGACCCCTGTGTATTGGTAGCCGTATCGGCTGTTTTTGCAACATATTGACGACAGAGCATATCTACCTACCTAGGTACAAAAGATTTGGTATGGTTATCGATAAGACTCTGGTGTGGATCTCTCATGCAGGCCAAACCAAGCTTCTTCTTACAAGTAGCTCTTCCAGTCTTCATCACACGCGACTTGAATTCTACAACCTCAACAAGTGAATACCCAATCTCCGTTCACCAAAACTCAAGGCGTCGCAATGTCGGCGATATATAATCTTGAACCGCAGCCCACTGCTTCAGTTGTTATTCATACCACCCGGGGCGAACTCTCCGTCGAGTTATTCGCGAAGCAAACGCCGTTGACATGTCGCAACTTCTTACAACTAGCGCTCGACGGCTATTACGATAACACAATATTCCATCGATTAGTTCCAGGTTTCATATTGCAAGGTGGGGATCCTACAGGCACCGGCAATGGAGGAGAGTCCATTTACGATGGAGGCGCATTCAGCGGCGACCTAGATCCATGGCCCATGGACCAGCGCCAGGGCAAGAATGCAGGACCAACAGGAATCAATTTCAAGGACGAATTCCACTCTCGTCTCAAATTCAACCGGCGTGGTCTGCTAGGTTCTGCGAACGAATCGCGTCCAGATACCAATGGTAGCCAGTTCTTCTTCACGCTCGACAAGGCCGAGGAGCTCAATGGGAAAAACACCCTGTTTGGCCGAATTGCTGGCGACACGATCTACAACTTGGCTAAAATGGGCGAGGGAGAAGTAGACGAAGCAACGGAACGACCGACCTACCCAGTGAAGATCGAACGAATAGAGATACTGGTCAACCCCTTCGATGACATGAAGAAACGATCTCGAGTGGCTGCCCAAGCGCCAACTAATAAAACAACAGCAGCAACGAGCAAGGATAAGAAGAAGAAACGGAAAGACGGGAAACAACTGCTCAGTTTCGGCGACGAGGAAGATGATGACGACATGCCAGTGCTTAAGAAAAAGAAATTCGATACGAGAATTGTCATGGAAGATGAGGGGGAAGACGAAATCCCCATGAAACCAGCAAAGCAGAAAGCCAAGAAGCCAAGAGTAACGGAGAAGCTCCCATCAGTTGCAGATGAGGTCAATGAGAAAGGGCCGAGGAAGCCCACGCTTGATCAGCCATCCAATGAAACACGGCGGAGTCCTGGCTCGCTTACGATCAGGGAGGTGAAGGACCAATCACCTGAACCGGAGGCTCCCAAAAAGACCGCTCTAGAGCGAGCCAACGAGGAGATGGCCGCTCTGAAAGCATCGATGCGACGGACCATTCATGCAGAAGAGCCTGTGAAGGAGAGGAAGAAGTCTGCACTCGAGGCCATGATCCCTGAAACATCAATCAGGGGCCGGAAACGAAGGCCCGGAGCTGCCAACACCTCAGCAAGTGAGGACGCAAAAACACTCCGCATGCTGAAGGCCTTCCAATCGAGATTGGAGAAGGCGCCCCCAGAAAAGGACAACGAACATACAATAACCGGGGCTATGCGTGAAGAGGGAAGTACCCATGCTCCAGACGATGAAGCTGAGTTATGTGATTTACACTTCATCGCAAATTGTCAAAGCTGTACATCCTGGGATAAGCAGGAAAAGGATGAGAGTGATGATGAAGGATGGATGTCTCACTCCCTCAGCTTCGCAGCAGACAAACTAGGCAAGGATCTCAGTAACCGTAAGAAGGCAGAAGAAGAACTTGTTGTCATTGATCCGCGCGAGAAGGCTCGGACTCTCAAGGACGAGAAGAGAGCTGCGCGCGATGCACGGCAGGGAAACTCCGGAAGAGCATGGGACCAGGCACGAGATGCAGCAAGGAATGCTAAGATGGCTCAGGCAGCATCGCTTGCGGGTCGAGGAGCAAAGTAACCGAGAAGATCAGGTAGATAGGCCAAGTGTGGTTCAAAGCTGTTGGTGACAAGTGAAGTTTGAGACCATAATAGGAATAGTCTGTCTATGATACCCAGCACAAAAGCATCAGGCCAGGTCTAATAGTGCCCCTCCTAGTCTGAGCTGACATGGGACAGGATGACGCCAATGCTTGTTCGCTGAAGAAAAGTGGCATTACGAGTCGCATCTGCCGTCCCCACAATTCATGTCATGACCGATCTCGATCCTCGAGGACACATAGTAATGATGAAGTTTTGACTGTTTTTCCTACAGTCGATGACCGAATTAATGGAAGTGATTAAAGTGAGACATTCTGTCTCTAGAGTTGATAGAGGTTACAGAAGCTTGCAGAAGCTTGCAGGACTAATTGGAAAAAGCTGTTAGAGCTTCACCAAGAGGCTACGGATACAAAGTCGTGGCTTTCTCCAACGTTGAAGATCGAGATACGTCGTCTTATCATCACGTGAAGACCTGGGCCCATGTGCCTGACAGGAATCTGATTGGCCCAAAAATATTTGACATTCAATCCGCCCGCTCCAAATGCTCCGGAAGCCCCATTCGCAGCGCGACCATCAACTCCAGCATCATCACCGTCACGCAAACTGCACCACCGTTCAATCGCAACATCCGTACTTGCTCGCTTCAGCTTCCGGCCTGTGCATCGCCTACTACTTACCGTTTCAGGATGGGTACGCCGCTCACCATTTCTTATCTTGCTTGATCTATATAGAGCAAGGCCCACCGGCCAAGACGACAGGCTGCCTTCCAGCCTTTTTCTTCAGACTACATAACTTGGGCAGACGCGCTGCGCAACTCACACTGCTTTAAGGCATCACTACGCGAGCTCCGTACACGAAGATAGAGCAACCGAGTGGACGTCCTTGGACCTCAGCCCCGCGCCCGCGCATCTTCTCCATAATCATATCTTTAAGGCTGTGCCTCTTCACCATCAATCACATTTGACTGACTTTTGCGACAACTTTCCGCATTTACCTTCCAAAGCTATCTCGCGATTCCCATCTGCTCCCTCGAGACGGTCCAACACTTTCCCTTATCACAACCCGGACACAGCCGAGCAAAAGATAAGTTGTTGACCGCTTACCACGGACTACGTTGCGCACACGCAGCAATTACAGAAGTCTTAATAAAAGTCACAATTACGCTCTGGGCCACCTCCCTCCCAAGGCACGCATTACGTGAAATCGATTCCGATCAGGGCGACGAGGCGAACTGGCTCCAAGGCGACCAACATCAGCAGTCACAAACCCATACCCGACTAGATTAGGCATCGATTGCGCCAATCCACAGAAAATTAATCTCACCGCTTCTGAGGAAGCACCGATTGAGCCAGAACCATTTTCATGTCAGCGCCCAACCCAAGGAAACGACCAGCACCAGGAGCGTCCCCAATGATGCCCATACCGCAGCCAATGCAGCCACAGTACAACACGGGGAACCCGGCTGGCGACCAGGTAATGCGTTGGAATGGAATGGGCGACCCTTCGGGCTTCATGAACGGTGCTGATGGTATCATGGATGGGAATGCTCATGTTGGGAACTCATTTGGTCTGGTGCCGGCACAGCCACAATATGCTCAGCCTGTGTCGACGCCATCGAACACGCTTGCTCGACGGCAAATGAATCGCGCGCTTGTCCCGACCAATACCCGGCCCTACGATGGAGCAGTTGAACCATGGGGAAACTTTGTTGGCGATGACAATGCTTTGCTTCAACAAGCCCCCTCCGAAAACTTGAATGAGCAAGACAACGTTGAGATATTGGAGGAGATGGCCCAGAAGGCCAAGAGAGAGGCGCAAGCGAAGCGGAAGCAGATTCCCCCTTTCGTGCAAAAACTGAGCAGGTAAGTTTCTTCATCACTATGGGTCAAAGAGGCAAACTAACCATGTCAAAGTTTCCTTGAAGAGCGCAAGAACGAAGATTTGATTCGATGGTCAGAAAAGGGAGATTCGTTCATTGTGCTTGATGAGGATGAGTTTGCAAAGACTCTGATTCCAGAACTGTTCAAACACAACAACTATGCATCATTTGTTCGACAGCTCAATATGTATGGCTTCCACAAACGCGTGGGTCTGTCGGACAACTCGATGCGAGCCAGTGAGCGCAAGAACAAGAGTCCTAGCGAGTACTCAAACCCATATTTCCGACGCGGTCATCCAAATCTGCTATGGCTCATCAACAAACCCAAGAGTGGAAGCAAAGCAAAGAAGGGGGGCAAGGGTGCTGAGATCGATAACGACAGTGAGGATGAGGGTGCCACCGAGGAGATCCTCGCCTCTGGGCTAGGGACCTCTGCAGCCCAGGCTCCTCGATCACTACCAGCTGCTGATTCTCAACCCATTCCAAAGAAAGAGATGACCCTCGTTCGAGAAGAATTGAGCAAAGTCCGAGAACAACAGAAATTAATTCTCGGGGCCATCAATCGATTGCAAAGAAACAACAACGATCTTTATCAACAGGCGGTCATGTTCCAGAATCAGCATGACCGCCATCAAAATTCTATCAACGCCATTCTTAACTTTCTCGCCAATGTCTTTCGAAAAACACTGGAGGATCAGGGCAACTCGCAGAATGTAAACGATATTATTTCGAGCATGCTCACGAACCAGAATCAGCAGTCCGCTCAACATGGCAGTGTGGTCGACCTAGGAGACTTCATTCAACAGATGGATCCTTCATCATACGGCACACCTCATAAGAAGGCTCGCGGCCTGCTACCCCCTATTCCCAACCAGAGCCGTGCCCAGTCAGTTAGATCGTCTACCCCGAACAGGTCAACACCTGTCAATTCAACCTACCAAAGTGTCAATCATCACAACCCTGAAATGGGCCACGTCACAGAACTCCAAGAGAATTCACCTAGCGACGCAAATTCCCCCAATCTACGTCAGGAACTGGAGGCAAACCCTCATGAGCAGATGTTGAAGATGATTAACGAACACAACGCAACCAACAATCATGGCATGGATCTGCCAGAGGCTGCCGAGCTTGTGGCCAACGCCCCCAACACGTTGAGCAACGCCCAACGAAGCAAACTGGTTAATTTCATGGCTGGCCAGTCCTCTTCTGCTCCATCTGCCAGGTCAACTCCCGCCCCTACCCCAGTCTCTGCCACACCAGTACCTGCTACTGCTCAAATACCTACATCAAATGCCCACATGGCCATGCCGACTATGCCTACCTCAACCTCAGTCTCACCCCCACCCATTGAGTCCAACCCAGCTCCTTCGCTTTCCCCTATCATGGGACCTCCCATGGCACCGCCGTCCTTGAACGAGATCAACACCAACCAGTTGGACCTAGATCAACTCCAACGTCTTCAAAGTGAGCAAGATGCAAAGATTAGCGAACTTGGTAGCATACTCGGACCACTGAGTCCTTCCGGGCATGTACCTGGTCTAGGGGAAAACGAGGCGTACTTCGATCCTCAGTCGGCAGATTTTGATCAGTTTTTTGACAGCAACGCTTTATTTGGAGATGGGCAGTACAACACTGATGGCACTGATTTCAACTTCAGCCTTGATACAGACCCAAGCCACCCGAATTCGGCACTACATACGGGACATCCCATTCCCCATGTGAGCCACCACAATACTCCAAGTCCCGCGGGTACAGAAGAGATTACCCGCAATGACCTGCGGCTAGACAGCACGCCGGATCGAGGAATTAAGCGACAACGCGTGGGTTAGCACTCTTCTGAGGAGTTTATCAAGCTTCACACGAGACCAGGAATTGTCTTCTAGCTGGGGGAAAGGCCGGGTTAATTTGATCCCTGATTGTGTTTATTCCCTAGCACATACCTTGGGTATTTACCCTGCAGTGTTGACTAACAGTCACTCTGAGGAAAGAACAGCCGCAAAAGGTTCAATAGAGCCGAGACAAAAACAGGGTTGCTTTTAGACATCATTATTTGGTGTTATCTCAGGAGTGAAAGGGACATATTTATAGAATCCATGGACGAACATGGAAGTATTGAGTTACTTACTAGGTAGGTTGGATTGATACGGGGGAGGCAGTTGGCGCGCTTTTATGACATGATGTTTAGTCGATTGAGCACGGTTAATAGTCCCTTTTTAATCTACCGCTTCTCAATATATGTCGCTGTGACTCTCATTGCTAAGTGAACTTCTCCTAATCTTCGATTATTGGCCTTTAATGAATGTGTTAGGTTGCCCTGTTTCCCTGTCATCCGTGGCCGGCGTTCAAGAGGAAAGGAATGGGTGATATTTCCAACAATAAGTTCAGCCCAAGTCTTGTTGCCCAGACATATGATGATACTGCCGCAAGAACCATAAGCTCATGATGGTTGATGAACCTTGTATCCATATGTTGTATGCATAAGCGACTCCAGCGAATTAGAAGCTATAACAACTTTGTGGAACTAAAGCCTCAACAGCCACAAGCTAGGTACTTATGTATGTGGCTCACAACTGTGGCGAGCTTTGTCTATATACACCCCTTCCCTATACAGTCTCGAGAATGAAGATATGAAAAGACGGTGTAAGGCGCGCGGGTGTTGTTTGTTTTTGCGACATATCGCGTCAGTCGTGATCTTTTAATCTCCGTCTCGTCGCGGGCTCGCAATGCGCCAGTCACCTCCATCGAGGGTGGAGACGCAATTTGCCATATCGCTCTCGGCCGAGTCAACTATTGCTACCCTACATGAGGATGCGGGCTCCTGTTCGCCTCGTTCATGCAACGAATAGACTTATACGTGTCTCCTTTTTAGGGGTTTTTGCTTGTATCTGTGCTCTGTATGTTTATTGTTTTTCTGTCTATTCTTTGAGTTTTTGCGATAAATATTCGTAATATATGTTGTGGAGAAGCGTTCTCCCGCTCAATGCACATACACTATCTACATAGCACTTACAGCGGGATCTGAGCATTGATATTTGCCCGGCTTAATGATGTGCTCTATAGAGGCGAAGCACGACCGTCTCCGACTGACGCATGTTATTCTCGTTGTAAATCCAAGTAGCAGGGAATTACGAGTCATTTTGTCTCGGCGTGGCACTGAACAATGCCCTACAGCATATCATCCCAACCAAAAGTCCATATCAATCAACATACGGAGTAGGCAGCACGGCAATAGTCAACATGTCGTAAACCCCTCCATTACTCGTAACTCATATCCATAAGATATCCATAGAACTACCGCTGCGAGACCCGTAATCCAGGATGTTGGTCCTGGGATGCTTGTTGTTGAGCTGGAACTCTGCAATGCAATACCCGACACCACACCTTAACACAACTCAGGAATGGAAAATATTCAATCCGACACAGGATGACACAACGAGATATGATTCAATAGACTTTCTACCAAAATTAAAGAATCAGCCCTGCATGAGAGCGCGTAGCCAATAAGAGTCAGCATATCTTCAACTCCCAACCTGCAGCGTCCAGGGGTAGCATGAACCTGGCCAATACCAGCCGCTATTAACTCTAAACCTTAGGAAACATCCCTTAAGACAACACCACTACTCCGTACTATGCTAATAATATGCCCTACTTCAGTAGTTCCATGCATATGCGTCTCCTAGTCAGGGGCTCCCCATGGTGCCTGCGCTGGTTGCCAGATACTGCTCCAAGTTAGCTCTTTTGGTTTCTGTCAAAGGTGCGAAATTAAAGTCTCTCCACACTGGGAAATTTCCTGACGTCAAGCTCCAAGCTTCCGCTCCATCCATCGACGATCTAGATCGTTCAGCTAGAATTCAAAGACAGATTCATAGACAGACAAAAGACGCGGCTGAACCAGAAACACCGGTATGACGGCTTGGCTTAAGCCTTGAGATGACCAAAGTGAACCCATCGATCGCCGGGTTGAACAATCACCGAAGACCATCGGAATGAGAAATGAATACGATTTGGAACAGTTCAAGTTAAAGAATTTTTACTTCTTTTTTTGTGCCTGTTTTACGTACAACTATCTATACACAGGACGGGGGGGGGGGGGCCTGAAGAAAGGAACTAGCCTGACTTCGTAGATCCAACCCAAGGCACCATTAATGCCAAAATCCTCCCCGGGACAACGTGTTGTTGTTGTGCATGCCAATGGCTTCCCAACTATGTATCGCCCGCCACCCCATCCACCCTTGAAAGAATTATGCAGACGTAGTACTGCTGTCGTGAAGAGTAGGCCGCCTCATCGTACCAGACCGAGGTCAGACACCATCGTCCCTGTTTTAATAAAGCTGGTCGGTCCATAACCGCTTATGTCCCAAAATCCGGGGGTATCCTTTTTATCCACCGCGAGGGACCTGTGTTGGTGCATTTTCGGTCTTCTTTTTTACTTCTTCCGTCTCGAGGTTGGCCAGGCCCTTCATGTGTAATCTATGTCGCCAACCAGTTTTACCCGAACGGTGACCTGTCGTTGGTCCTCTTGGGTATGCGGATGAGACCAAGTCGTATGGAGCCTGAAAAAAAATGATGCATAAAGTTGCTAAAGAAAAATTGAAAAGAAAAGGGTATGATCCGCGTGTTCCTTTTTTTGGTGCCGCTAGACTTGATATTGAGGAGAAAAAGTTTGAATCGCAAGGAAATAGAAAGCAGTCGCTAAATGCCAAAACATATGTGGAAAGATCATTCTGTTGTGCGACCATGCAATGATTTCGAACAAGTAATAGAATGTCGGAAAGATAGTGTAGAAGCCACGATGATGTACATGGGTGAACGTCGAAGGTCGAATCGTCGATTCAATATCTTGTCATGAAGAGAACATTATTGGTTCATGCCATGCTGGTTAACGTATCCGACGTATTGGTGTTGTTGACCATATACTCCCGCATGGTGTGGAGGTGTTGGTGTGACTGGGCATCGAGGAGGCAAGCCGTAAGGCTCCTTTGCCATGTTGTGGTTGCCCATTAACGAGTTACCGTCAGGGGTGATCGGGGGTGTTAGGTAACCATCGAACCCCATCGCGCTGTGTCCTTTTTGAGGAGTGCTGTAGATGTTGCTCGTGTGCTTGTTGACGGGTTCGGCTAGGGGAGTAGCTGGGTTAGCAGCTCGACGGGCGATCGCAGCCTGCTCAGCCATGAAGTCGGCCAGCTTCTGCGACACCCGAGAAAAACCTGTTGTTGAGTATTTGCGCGCAAGTGTAGGCGAGGGTTGATGAAGGTGATGCGACAATGTGATCAAGGTAACGTTCTCTGTCTGGTCCCAACCTCCATCGTTAACTTCGGAGCGGCCAAGGATGGCTCGTGCGAGAGCGAGAGATGAGCGAGCCATAACGGAAGGCTTGGTGGAAACGAAATCGCGATGGTACAAGGCAATCTCACACAGATAGGCGGCCATGTGCGCAACCTCCTGGTCGTCACCCTCCTCTGCTACCATTAGTTGCGAGAAGAAGTCGACGGTAGGGTGGCCAATGATCCAATCAAGTGTGTTGAGGACATGCATCTCCATTTGTGTGAACATGCCGGCGTCATAGAGTCCGCAGCACATGTTGTTAAGTTCGTGAATTTGGGGAACGCGGTCCTTCTTGTCACCATACTTGGCAGCGATGAGCAGTGCAGCGCATCCAACCAGCTGGTAGTGTTGCTTGTACACAACTCGCTTAGAGCAGTATCGATCGAGGAGGTTAACAGTGAGGAAGAGAGTCTCGGGAAGGAGGCCGAAGGCGGCATGGGCCTCGATGAGGAAGTCGATCAAGTAAGGTCGCATGAACCACTGGATCTCGCGCTGCATATCGATGAGGGAAGCATCTGGTAGAGTCTCATCCTAAACATTGTTAGCAGATGAGACGTGGTGGACAGCAATGTGACAACAAACCTCCATTTGTCGCATGTGCTGCATGATATCCTCGAGGTACTCATCGCCTGCTAATCGTGATAGCTCAACGCCAATGATGTCCTGCCGTTGACGGGCCATCATTCGCGCTGCTTCTTGGGCTGTGATTCTGTGGTGAGGTTCTTCCGACTCCACGAAGTAAGAGTCGTCATGTTGAGAGTACGCCATATTGGGTGGTAGGTGATTGGGGTTTCTCAGGTGGGCGGTGACTGGGCAGAATAGTGCCTGTGGCTTGTTGTCAAAGGAGCGACTGTTTGTTCGCCAGGAATCTTGTGGTCGGAAATTCGCAAAAGAGAGAGTGACTTTGGCTGCAAAAAGGAGTGATGCGAAGCCGATCAATTAGGATATTAAGATATTAAAGAACGTGGGTGAAAATGATGAAAAGAGTGACCGTGGCTGGTAACGAGACCAGGAGCATGTAGATAGTGGAGTTAAAAAAGAAAAGGGATTGGAAAGGGGGCTGTTTGAAGACGAGATCGACTCAAGGGCTCTAATGCGGTATGTGCGTCAGTATCAAGTTTAATACTAGCGGAATCTCGATTTTGCCAAGCTCGTGACTCGCTGGAGGCTTTACATTACACGGCGAAATGCACCTATGCAACTATCCCTTGGTCGATAGACAACACGACAAGCTGGCACGAGTATGGTATCGAGGGGAGAGGGGCAAGTCTTACAGCCACACGTCGGGGAGATGGGCAAAGCTCGTTGAGAATATGAGACAGTCCCTGAATCGAATCAAGCAGGAATAACGAGCTAACGTCTCCCACTGGGCAAATTTCAAGGAGAAAAAGCGTGGTGGTTGTGGTGAGGAGAGCGGTATGCGGGAGTTGAACGCTCGGCATGCAGCTATACGGAAATTAGATATGATATGTCCCCAGCACCGTGCAGCAACGGCGATGACATA